GAGGAAGCACAGACTTCTGTTCACACGGGCCCCAAGTCTTGGCACAAGGCAGAAAGACACACACACACACACACACACACACACACACACACACACACACCAGGCTGAAAATTGGATTGGGTGGGACCTCCCAGCCAACCTCCACCAGAAAAAGGGAGTGGGAGCAAGAGCTAACAGGGCCTTCCTTAGAGCCGTGCAGAGAGCCTGGAGAAGGGAGGGCCCACAAAGGGAGAAGAGGCCAGGAGGAGATGAGGGGAAGGAAGGCTACAGCCCGCCTCCATCTCTCCAGCCCGAGAAAGCCCCGTGAGGGCCCCGTTCCATAGACCAGAGCATGGAGGCTCCGAGAGGCACAGGTCCCGGTGGGTGTGAGCAAGCCACAGCCCCACTGCCCGGGCTCTGCTGAGTCAGGGGCGGGAGGGAGCCCAGAGCCGGCACCGAGCACCGAGACGTGAGGGTGTACCTGGCCTGCTGGGCCACCGGGAACTCCCGCACGGTGGTCAGCGTGTCCTGGGCGGTCTTGGTGGCATGCTGGACGTAACCGTGCATAAGGCCCAGAAGGGAGGGGTCCTCCCCCTCTGTAGCTCCTGCCGGGAGAGCGGGGTGGAGTGAGATAGACTGGCCTCTGGGGAGCCCTTCGCCTCCGCCCAGCCACCGGCCAGGGTGTGGGATCCTCAAGCCATTCCCAGGTCCTCCAGGCAGACGGCTGCCCGCCCCTCCCTATCCCTAGCCCTGTCCCCACGAGCTGCTTACGGGCAGAGGCCAGGAGCACCAGGAGGGCAGTGACGAGAAGGACCCGGGACTGCATGGCACCTCTGTCCTGCGGGGAAGTGTCTTGAGAGGGGTACCCCAAGCCCCCCATCTCTGGTCCTCCCTGGGATGGTGGTGTGGCCTCTGCCGTGGATCCCGAGCTGGGTCAAGCCAGGAGGAGAGAGGGCCTGCTGCCAGCTAACACGGCAGGTGAAGGGCTTTCAGCCAGGGGCCTCGGGCAGAGCCAGGCTGGGAGAGAGCGCCGGGCCGAGGGCCGGAGCAGAAAACCCACCAGACCAGGAATCAAGGCACCCGGGTTCTGGCCTGGTTCCTGCCACTAACACGTTGTGTGACTTGGGGTAGATTCCTGTCCCTCTCTGGGCCTTGGTTTTTCTGTCTGGGGTCTAAGTCTTCTTCCAGTCCTAAACACAGAGTGAGGGAAAGTGCATGGATTTGGAGCCAGTTCCGGTCCTGCTGTGAGCAAGTGCCCTGCCTTCCATGAGCCTCGGTTTCCCCCAGTGTGCAACTGGAGGTGCTGGCCGCTTCTCTAGCCCCGGGGCTTCCTTGGCTCCAGTAAGCTCTTCTCCAGTCTGTGCTGGCTGCTCTGGGCAGGGACCGTCCTCTGCCCCTCACCATCCTGCCTCTCCTTTCTCCCTCACCCTCCTCCTCCCCAGGGGGCATTACCTGGAGCAGCGGTTTCTTGGGATGAACTGAGCAGGCAGACCCGAGGGTTCTGACCTGGTTTATATTGTCTCCAGGACAGCAGGCACAGAGGGCCCAGTGAGCTGGGCAAAGGTCACCTGCTGATCAGTCTAGACCAGGGCCCGAGGCAGGGTGCCCAGACGCAGCCAGGCTTGCTGGGAGAGTTGGGAAATCTCTAGGTGCCGTGGTGACCACACTGGTCTCCTGCCACCCCTGCGGCCCAGAGGGGCTCAGGGACTAGGCATACCCCATTTCCTCCAAGCGGCCTGGCTCCCCAGGGAGAGGTAGGGGAAAGGCATTAGGGGAGAAGCCAGGGGTCTCTGGGCCACCGCAGCCCTTCACACATGCCTTTCAGGTCCCTCCCCGCACCCCGCCCCCTGGGCCCTGGAAACAGCCTGGAAGGGGTGGGGGCTGGATTGAGAAGGTGATGGGCTTCTTCAGGCTTGAGAACAACTCAGTATTGGGGTGGGGTGTCGGGAGTGAAGTCACCCAAGACCTATGGGCAGAGGCTTGTGTGGGGAGGGGAGACACAGTTGACTCCACACAGCCCCGTCCCCTGCATTGACGTCTCTTCTCCAGGAGCCTCTCCAGCTGAGCCCAGGGCAGGGGGTGGTGGGAGAACAGCACAGACTGCTCTGAGCCCAAGGCCTTTCCCCCCTCCTCCTCCCCTTGCCCTCTGGACCCACTGATAACATTTCCTGGGGCAGGAGCTGGGGTTCCAGGGTTGGGCCTTCCCCAGACAGCGACAACTGGGACTGATTGCCAGCGCTGAGCACCTCTCACCTCGGGCCTTGGTTTCCTCAGCTTTGCAATGGCAGCCCTCAGAGCCCCCTGGCTGGGAGGGGAGCTGGAACGAACCGAGGTTGTGGTGAGGCCAGTCCGGTGGGGAGAGGGGACAGAGGAGCTCTGCAGGGGCTGTCCAGGAGAGGACTCGGCCTTACCTTCCTCGGGGTAAGGTGGCCCTGGGCCCGCAACAGGAGCCATAACCTGGATCAGGGAGGCTAATAAGACTTTGAAGCCAAGAAATCCCAGGTTCAAACGATGCCTGTGACTCTTAAGTCATATGACCCAGGAACAGAGACCTAATACCTCAGAGCCTCGATTTGCTCCTCTTATAAAAGGGGATAGAATGCTGATATGCCAAAAGTTGTGGTACAAAGTAAATGAGCCATGTACAAAGCAACTGGTTCATGGAACAGGCTTGATAAATCTCTTTCTTCCTCCCAAACACCTTGTCTATCCCTAGACAGCATAGTCTGAAGGCAGGAGGAAATAGGGCTTTTGAAAGCAGGCAGCCATCTTCTCAGGAAGAAGCAACTAACTCCATGGTGTGAAATCAGAGGCCTGAGAAAGAGGCCTGGCTCCACCCTCAGAATTCTTTGTTTGCTAAGACTTGACGTTTCTCCATTAGAAGTTCATTCCTTTGACTTAGATCTTGTATTCTGTTAAAATGCAAATAGATTTCTATGAAGTAGATATTAACGATCCCATTTGGTAGATGAGAGACCTGAGGCTCAAAGGGGTAGAGATGTCCCCGAGTACATACAGCACATCACTGGTAGAGCTGGAAACCAGAATCCAGGTCTTCAAATACCAATACTGGTGCTAGGCAGCTTGGAGCGATGAGACCCTTGGAGATTTATCATTCACTCAGACCTTAGAGTAAATCAGTTTCAGATCTCTTCCTGAGCACAGATTTTGGTGATGGGGTGGGGAGGAAAGGAAGCTGATCAGGTCGCTGAAGGATCTGCGCACCGGGGAGGGTAGACAGCAACTTGTGCCCATGTCACTCTTCTGTTCTGGCCTGTCCCTCGGCCCCGGAGGTGAAGGCCACAGAGGGAATCCAGGTTCCAGGCTGGGTCAGAGTACAAAGTCCTCGGTCCCTGCGCCTGCTAGAATGGGCTGGCTGGATCCCTTGGCCCTGGACCCTCCAACTCTCTTTCCCTGTGTGTGGAGGGTCTGGAGGAACCTGTCCTCTCTCTCACATGTAGCAATGGGCCCCCTGAGGCCAGGGAGGTCAGAAGATGGGGGCAGAGAGACCCAGCAGGGTCGTGCTGAGCTGGGCAGAGAACCCAGGTGTGTGGGCCCATGCAGCAGAGTTGTGGCATGCCATGAGTCCTGGGACTTTTCCTCTTTCAAAGGGCTTGGCACAATTGAGTGCCCCTCCTGACAGCTCTGGCTTGGGTCTCAGTAGGGCTATCTCGGGAGGGGCCCTCTCAGGGGCCAGCCTAAGCTGCCTCTCTCTCCTTTCTCTCTCTCTCTCCATCCCACGCTGGCTCCCCTGGGATGAGGTGGCTGCTCTGGGCCTGGCCCACAGACTGGCTGTAAGGAGTCACCAGTGGTGGTAAGGAGGGGGTGGGAGGGAGGCTTGAGCAGCTGGGGCCAAAACTGGTCCTCTAGGGCTAGGCTGATTCCTCACTAGCTTCCTTGCGTCTGGGCGAGGCTTAGCACACAAGCCTCTGTGATCCATGCCCCTGCCATTAGGCTGGATGGGGAGCCCCGATTCAGCCCTGCCAGCCAGAGGATCTGGTTCCCCATGCCTCTCCATGCTGGAAGTTCCTCCTATTATCCCACCCAGATCCTTCCTGTAACAACAACAGGAGCTACCCCTCTTTAATTCTGCCCTGTGGGGAGGGCCAGAGCGGAGCATCTGTGGGGAATATGTCCATGTGACTTGCCTGTCTCTGGCTGGTCTTGAGCTCTCCCCTCCTGACTCTGAGCTCTGGGCTGACCCCTGGTTTTGTCCCTGTGGGGTGGACAGGAGGGTGGCTGTAATGCTGGACTTTCAACCTCATTGTGTTACCAACCATTAGGGCCGTCTATTGCACACACAAGGAGAGCGAGGCTCAGAGAGGCACATGATGTGCCCAGCATCACATGGGCCCCCTGTGTCCACCCATGGGGCCGTCTCTTGTCTCATAGGGTCAGGTCCTGCAGGAGAGGCCAGCATCTGTGCCCAAAGAGAACCAGAGGCCCAGCCGGAGGCCGAGCCCGTGGCGCGAACGCTGTAAGACTGGACCCTCGTTCTTCCCCTGTTCCCGGTGCAAATCTGTTTACAGACTGATGCAAAACATGCCCACTGACTTGGGGAAACATACGCATTCAGTAATGGCATCCACCCACGACATGTCAGGAAGCAGCACACCCCCCTCGTGGTTGTGGCTGTCGCACAGGCCGGCACCGGTCCCTTAGCGAGATGCCTTAGCTTTGTGCCCACAGACAGCTGAAGTGTTTGCACACTTATGTGAATCTGTGCACGTCCTGGCAGATGCTCTCAGACATGCTCAGCGGGGTACAGACACTCCCAGTGTGTGTACGCCCAGGCAAGTGAGACAGGACCTGTCACATGCTGGTGGCACCTGTTGTTCACAGTCCAAGTCCAAGAGGTCAGGCTGCAGCTGAGATGTTCTTGGTGACTCATTGCTCTTTTCATCTCTGGCCCCGGGGGAAGGGATGGGGGCACTGAGCACTGACCTTTGCACCCACCCGAGACTGGACTGTGCCTGACTGGGGAGCAGGAACAGGAGCGATAGGCCAGTGTGGCAGGGAGGTAAGGCTTGCAGGGTGAAATGTGGCTAGTGCTGTTCCTAGACACTGTTCCCAGCGTGACACACTGTCTCACTGATTCCTCATTATTCTATGCCCAGCTGAGGCAGCTGAGACTCAGAGAGATTAGGAGATTTTCCCGAGGTCACGTGGACAGTAAGTGGGAAGCCCGGACGCAAACCCATGGAGTCCGACTCCAGAATCAGCCCTTCACAACTACCGCAAGAGAGGGACAGCTGTCCAGGAAGGCGGGGCTCCCTGAGACTGGAGGCGACCGCGGGCAGTATGGGGACACGGCAGGGCGCAAGAAGCTGAAGGCCTTAGCTGTCTTTAATCCCATGAGACATCAAGCCACTTCTGGAGTATGAAAAATGGAGGCCCGATAAATCAGGGTTAACACAACTGTGGGCTGTCGTGATGGCGGGTGGCCAGGAGTCCACCCGCGTGTCGGGCCCCGTGCTCTCGGATCAGAGCCAACAGTGCAGTGGGAATGAGTTTCCTCTCAGAGTCACTGCAGGTGGCATGGTCTAGCAGAGGGGCCCATGCAGAGCAGGCCGCATTGTCTTCTTGGTGGATGGCTTTCTGTAATCGTGTGTATGACCTCATTGTGGAGAACAATAGAAGTCTCCTAGAAGACCTCCTGCCCCCATCCCCCGGCCCCCAGTGAGAAGTCCCCTAAGAGGCTCAGGTCCTGAGATTCAGCACAGGCTGACTGCTCCCACCCAGGGAGTGTGGCTAAGCTTGGGAGCCATTTCCCCTGCATCGTACCCCACCTTGGTGACCCCTAGAGGGCTGGGCCTGACTCTGCCCTCTCTCTGGAGGGATGAGCATTCTACTGGACCCCCTGCCAGGGCCCCAATCAGGAAAACAAGGTTATTATTAATAACAACAACGACTGTGTAGTGCTTATTCTGAGCCAGGCGCTACACCCATTGCACGAGCAACAGCTCATTTATTATGCCCAGCAACCCCGTGTTCAAAGGAGAAACTGAGGCTCAGAATTTGGCCAAGTTGAGTCACTAGGCCAAGGTGGCACAGCTGGGCAGCAGCGGGACATGAAGCACACTTAAAATCAACCCCTTCAAGGGGTGCCTGGGTGGCTCAGTTGGTTGGGTGTCTGACTTCAGCTTAGGTCATGACCTCGCGGTTTGTGAGTTTGAGCCCTGCATTGGGCTCTGTGCTGACAGCTCAGAGCCTGGAGCCTGCTTCAGCTTCTGTGTGTCCCTCTCTCTCTGCCCTTCCCCTGTTCGTGTTCTCTCTCTCTCTCTCTCTCTCTCTCTCTCTCTCTCTCCCTCAAAAATGAATTTAAAAAAATTTTTTTTTAATTAACCCTTTCAATACAGGGTTCTGCCACACCACCGACCTGCCCACTCGCCCTCCTCCTGGGCACCTTGACCAGAGCTCTGGATCTTAGCTTGCTGTCCCTGTGACCCTGGATGTCCTAGTCCAGTGTCTGGTGCTCTGAGATGGAGTCAGTTTGGGAAATGTGTGGGGCGGGGGGACTCTTTCCCCTGAGGCAGACAGAGGAGGTGTGAACTTTACTCCCCAAACCTGGCTAAGATCCAGAATTGTCAGCAGGGCCCCTGGGGCATCAGTCCCTCCCTGGCTCGGGGGTTCCCTGGCCTCTTGCCTCCCACAGCTCATGGCTCCCCACCCTCCCTTCATACTGGGTGGGGCATGAGCACAGAACAGCTTCTTCTGACTGCTGCCCAAGCCTCAGTCCACTGTCAGCTTCCACGTTGTCTTAGAGTCACAAAAGTCCAAGAGGCTTCCTGGGAATGTGTCATCTTCCAGCGTGGAGTCACACGGGGGAGGGAGGCGGGGAGGGCAGGCTGGTGGGAGTTTAAATGGCTGGCTGGCTCTGAGCTTTGGTCAGTTTGGACAGCAGCACAGGTGGAGCTGCCTGAGAGCCTCTCCCGTTGCGCCGTCTGATTCCAGAAAGGATCCAGTGCAGCCCGGTGAGAAGCCCAGGATGTTCCTGAGGGCTGTGGTCCTGACCCTGGCCCTAGTGGCTGTCACCGGTGAGTAGGAGCTTCCTCTGGATGGGGCCCTTGGGCAGGACCCTCTGCCGCATCGAGTGGGCAGGATGGAGAGTCGGAGGCCCAGGCAACAGGACGGTTCCAAATGCCTGTCATCCCCCAGTTGGACACAGAAGGCTGCCCACTTGCCACTCGGTTCACAGGAGGGCTGGCCTATTGAGAATGTTCTGCCCGCTGGCGTGAGTGCCAGCCCAGTTTCTAACTTCCCAGCTTCTAACTAGGGAAGCACAGAGGAGGAGATCAGCGGTCAGGCTCCCCCACCATCAGCTGGTCTGCAGCTCAGGGCTGGCGCAGAGGGGCAAGGAAGGAGATAGGTCCTCATGAATCACTTTCTGCTTCCTGCCCAGGTGCCCGGGCTGAGGTCAGTCCCGACCAGGTGGCCACCGTGGTGTGGGACTACTTCAGTCAGCTGAGCAACAATGCCAAGGAAGCCGTGGAACATCTCCAGCAGTCTGAGCTCACCCAGCAGCTCAAGTAAGAAAGACACGACTTGTGGGGTGGGGCTTCTTAAAGGCCATGCAATGCGGCAGCCAAAGGCTGAGCTCAGAGGCAGGAGACCTGGGCTTAGGATGCCCACTGCCCTGCCACTAACTCACCCAGTGGCCCTGAGATCTCTGGATCTGGGATCCACATGCAGACAGGGGGTTGGACTGATAATCCCTAAGGAATCTTCTGCTTTAACCTTCTAGACTGTGCCAAATGGCCACGTCTTAGCATTGAGATGCATGGAAGAAAGGGACGGAGGGGGATGTCACGGGAGCTGGGTCCTAACACATTCCAGAAAGACGGGCCCCTGGGACATCATGGGAAGGGACGTGGGGATATCTGGGGAGCCTGTGAGGACAGGCACGTACAGGGAAACCAGTATTTTGAATCTGTAAAAGACACTGGAAAGGGTCCAGAGCCTAACATCCTATCAATGAATGTGACCTATGTCATAGTGCACCTGTGCTGGGAAGGACTTCAAAGTCTGCCCTTTCTACTTCACAGATAGGGAGGGGAAAGCAAACCCCTGGAGGTCACATGATAGGTGACTCAAGGTCAGGGGGAGACTCAGAGATAAAAGGTAATAACTTGGTCTATTGCATCCACCCTCTCAAACCATGGTCTGCCGCAGGGAAGGCCACAGAGCCGAGCTGGGTGAACTCAGTACCCTTGAACACTCACCTGTCTTAGGCAGGTATATAAGGAGACAAGGTCCTGGCACGGAATGCCAAGTGTAACAGTGGCCCTCTTGTGTCCTTCCTCTGTAGTGCCCTCTTCCAGGACAAGCTTGGGCAAGTGAACACCTATGCGGATAACCTGCAGAAGAAGCTCGTGCCCTTCGCCACTGAGCTGCACGAACGCCTGACCAAAGACTCGGAGAAGCTGAAGGAGGAGATTCGGAAGGAGCTGGAGGAGCTGCGGGCACGGCTGCTGCCCCACGCCAATGAGGTGAGCCAGAAAATCGGGGACAATGTGCGCGAGCTGCAGCAGCGCCTGGGGCCATACGCGGATGAGCTGCGCACCCAGGTCAACACTCACGCTGAGCACCTGCGGCGCCACCTGACGTCCCACGCGCAGCGCATGGAGGCCGTGCTGCGCGAGAACGTGGACAACCTGCAGTCCTCACTGACGCCCTACGCAGATGAGTTCAAGGCCAAGATCGACCAGAACATAGAAGAGCTCAAGGGGCATCTCACGCCCTACGCCGATGAGCTCAAGGTCAAGATCGACCAGAACGTGGAAGAGCTGCGTCGCAGCCTGGCTCCCTACGCGCAGGACGTCCAGGAGAAGCTCAACCACCAGCTCGAGGGGCTGGCCTTCCAGATGAAGAAGAATGCCGAGGAGCTGAAGGCCAAGATCACGGCCAATGCCGACAAGCTGCGGCAGAGGCTGGCGCCGGTGGCCGAGGACGTGCGCGGCAAGCTGAGGGACAACGCCAAGGGACTGCAGGAGTCGCTGGCCCAGCTCAACAGCCACCTGGACCGGCAGGTGGAGGAGTTCCGCCGCAACCTGGGGCCCTACGGCGACACCTTCAACAGAGCCCTGGTGCAGCAGGTGGAGGAGCTCAGGCAGAAGCTGGGCCCCTACGCAGGCGGGATGGAAGACCACCTGAGCTTCCTGGAGAAGGATCTGAGAGACAAGGTCAACTCTTTCTTCAGCACCCTCAAGGAGAAGGAGAACCAGGACATGCCTCTGGCCCTCCCCGAGCAGGAGCAGGCGCCAGGCCCTTTGGAGAGCTGAACTGTCCCTGGTGCTCCCACGCGACCAGGAACACCTGCCCTGCCCGGCCACCGGTCTGTCTGTCTGTCCCAAGGCAGTTCTTGTACAAGCTTGAGGACACATGTCCAGTGGAAAGAGACACTACCTCTCGCTACTCAATAAAGCTGCTGAGAAACTAGTCCAGTCTGGTCGCAGCGTGTCTTCTCGGCGTTGGTGGGCCTGAGCTGGGCGAAAATCATGGCTTGGCAAAGCTTGGCAGGGGCCGGCAGGGGATACTTTGAGGGACACCAAGGGCTGGGGGGATGAGCTTGCAGGAGGGGTGAGGGCAGGGAGTGCTGAGAGGGCTTTCGAGGGTGCTCTAAGGAGAGGTGGAAAAAGATGTCACACGTTATCCAAAGACGAAATATCCACTTAGCCAGCTCTACCCACCCTTTTCATACATGTTCTGACGACGGGGCTCACTCTCTCGTGAGTTCCCAAGTACAAGAAGAATGCTCTGATTTGGTTTGGGGAATCCATCTCTTTATGAGAGGATGTCCAAGATATTTTAAGCAAACGAAAGCCAGGTTCTGGATGTTATGCATTATACAACCCCGTTCAGAAACATATGTATATTTGTATGTGAATGTGTAAGGAGGTAAAAAAAAAAAAAAAAGTCCGTTAATTCAACAGCTAGACCTAAAATTCTTCTCAGAGAGAGAATTGTATTTGGTACTCCATGTTGGCTGCTAAAGAGGAAACGTTAAGGAATAGGCTGGAAAGAAATGGATTCTGTGCATGCCCCGTACAGGCATTTGAGGCAGTGGTAAATAGTAGGAAAGGAAGGGAGGTTACAGAAGAGAAAATAGGGAATGAGGAATGTCCAGTGGCAGAAAGTTATAATACAGGCATTGCAATAAAGCTGATACTCTGTGCTCCCTAGTGCTAGGTGCTTTTATAAAACACAGTAGAGGGGTGCCTGGGTGGCTCAGTCAGTTAAGCATCTGACTTCAGCTCAGGTCATGATCTCACGGCTTGTCAGTTCAAGTCCCATGTTGGGCTCTGTGCGGACAGCTCAGAGCCTGGAACCTGTTTCAGATTCTGTCTCTCTCTGCCCCTTCCCCACTTGTGCACGCTCCCGCCCGTTCCCGCTCAAAAATAAATAAATATCAAAAAACAAAAACAGGGGCACCTGGGTGGCTCAGTTGGCTAAGCATCTGACTGTGGCTCAGGTCATGATCTTGCGGTTCATGAGTTCAAGCCCCACGTCGGGCTCTGTGCTGACAACTCAGAGCCTGGAGCCTGTTTCCGATTCTGTGTCTCCCACTCTCTGCTCCTCCTCCACTCACGTTCTGTCTGTCTGTATGTCTGTCTCTCTCTCTCAAAAATAAACATTGAAACAAAACAACAATAACAACAACAAAATCCCCCAGCCCCCCATGGTATATGTACATTGACTCATATACTCCTCCCAACAAACTGTAACATTGAAGATACAGCAGATAAGGAAAAGGCAGTTCAGAATGGTAAGGTACATTAGGTAACAAGTGGTGGAACGGAGTTTCAAACCCAAGCAAGCCGTCCAGCCCCCCAGAACCCCATAGAGCAGGGGCGATGCCCACCACACAAGGGGCAGATGGGTTCTGCTGGATCATATTCGATTCTTGATATCTGACTTCCATGGGAGAAAGGAAACTGAAAGCTTAGGTGGTAAATTCATCAGGGTTCATCTCAGAAAGGTGAGATATTGCTTTCCCCTTTATATATTTTATATAGTATTGGGATTTTAAGATACTATTTAGTATTACCTTTTTATTGTGGTAAACACACACACACACACACACACACACACACACACACACACATATATATATATATAACATAAAATTTACCATTTTAACCATTATATAATTCAGAGACATTAATTACATTCACAATGTTGTACAGCCATCACTGCTATCTCCAAAATTTCTTTTTTTATTAAAAAATTTGTTTATGTTTTATTTATTTTTGAGAGAGAAAGAGAGAGACAGAGTGTGAGTGAGGGAGGGCCACAGAGAGAGGGAGACACAGAATCCGAAGCAGGCTCCAGGCTCTGAACTGCCAGCACAGAGCCTCATGCGGGGCTCAAACTCACGAACCATGAGATCATGACCTGAGCCGAAGTCAGGTACTTAACCGACTGAGCCACCCAGGTGCCCCTTTCCAAAATTTCTTTATCATCCCAAACAGGAAACTCTGTATCCATTAAGGAATTCCACACTATCACCCCCCACGCCAGCTTCTGGTAACCTCTGCTCTACTTTCTGTCTCTAGGAGTTGACCTGTTCTAGAGAATATGCATAAGGGAATCATACAATATTTGTCCTTTTGTGCCTGGCTTCTTTCACCTTTCACTTACCGTAATGTTTTCCAGGTTCATCCATGTGGTAGCATGGACCAGAATATCTTCCTCCTCCTCCTCCTCCTCCTCCTCCTTCTTTTTCTTCTTCTTCTTCTACTTCTTTTTTTTTTTAAAGGCAGAATACTATTCCATTGTATGTATAGACCACATTCTGTTTAGGCACTCACCATTGATGGACTCCTGGGTTGTTTCTACCCTTTGGCTATTGTGAATAATGCTATTATGCTATTTTCAAGTCTCTGCTTTCAATTCTTCTGTGTATATATCCAGGATCAGAATTGCTGCATCTTGTGGTAATTCTATGTTTAATTCTTTTTGAGGAAACGCCATATTTTCATGCAAATGTTTTACATTACCGTCAACAGGGAACCGAGGCTCTTTTCTCCTTACCCTCTCCAACACTTGTTATTTTCTATTGTTGTTTTAATAATAGCCATCCTAATAGTATTACTTTCAAAACTATAAACAAACAAACAAACAAATAAATTAATAAATATTCACCAGAGCTACTCCGGGATCCAGGCTTGACCACGTAGCAAGACTGAAACACTTAAACCCAGAAGAACCATGTACTTAGAGTCCCCTGCAAGTGCCGGGTAGGGGGTGTTTCCTGGACTTCTGCACAGCCCACATCAATATCGCCCAGTGCAGTTTGTCCAGAGCCCAGCACAATCTCAGGCCTGAAGCTCCCCCAGCCCCCGTGGCCCCTCAGGTGACCCGGATGTGATGGACTCCTCTACAGGCATGGGCTAGTGCCCCCAAAGGAGTGTCAGCCAGCCCTGGTGTGGGCTGGGCTGAGACGCTAGCCACACACCTGCACCCATCCCCAAAGCTCAAAGGTCAGAGGTCATTTGAGAACGTCAGAGAGGTCACTACCCCTGAGGTGTCTGGTGATGGAACGGCCTTGATTAGGGAGAGGACAGCACAAGGCAAAGGAAGGGTGTGGGGCCTGCTCTCCTCCTGAACCCACAGGGCCTTACTGCTGTTGAGGGATTGTTCCAGCCCAGTCAAAAACAGCGGGGATGCTGTGTTCTTTTGGTGTTATCATAGGACACCCCGTGATCCCAGGATGGGGCACACAGGTGATGGCATGCTCTGGGGAGAGAAACCACAAGTGTGGGGTCATCTGGGGACTTCTCTGTCTGAAAGTATGGAGGACAGAACCATGGTTATCTCACCGTGTGAAATTAGCAGCTAATAATGGAGGGAAATAGTTAGAGACCCCAGCATTGCCCACGTCAGAAGACTGAGAATTTGAGGGGCACCTGCGGGGCTCAGTTGGTTGAGCATCTGACATCAACTCAGGTCACGATCTCACGGTTTGTGAGTTTGAGCCCGGCATCGGGCTTGCTGCTGTCAGCATGAAGTCTGCTTCGGATCTTCCATTCCCCTCTCTCTGTGTCCCTCCTCCCACTCCTGCTCACGCTCTCACTCTCAAAAATAAATAAAACATTGAAAAAAAAAGAGGATTTGAGCAGCTGGCTCTGAGACGGTAGGCAAGTGATGCAGTAACTGAAAAACTAGGTCCTATGCACAAAATCATAGGACTTGAGGTTTGGAGGGAATCGCCTTGTCTCTCGGGCCAATTCCTTGACACTGTTTCTAGCAAATGAACACAACTCTACACAGACAGGTACCCCATTCCTCCACCGTTGTGTGTACAGACTGTGGTGGCAGGCTGCCACATGGCTCCGAGATTGATGCTCCTCTCTGGCTCACGCCCTGTGTGGTCTCTCTCATGGGTGGAGGGCTGACCTATGTGATCAATAGGCTATTATGGAAGTCACGGTGTATGACTCCTGAGGCTAGGTCAAAAGGGCCTTGTGGCTCGCACCTTGCTCTCCTTTGGATCACTGACTCTGAGGGAAGACAGCTACTCTGTTGGGAGGACACTCAAGTAGCTCTGGGGAGGGGGCCACACGGAGAGGAACAGCAGCCCCTGTTCAACAGCCAGCACCAACTTGCCAGGCACGTGAGTGAGCCACCTTGGAAACAGATGTGTGGTCAAGCCTTCGGATGACTGTGGCCCCAGCCAACATCTTGCCTGCAACCTCATGACATATCCTAGACCAGAACTGCACAGCCTAGCCACAGACCCACAGCAATTGTGAGAGATCATACGATGTTAAGTTTTGGGGTGATTTGTTATGCAGAATAGCTGACTAATACACATGCCTCACACAGTGCCTGGCACACAGTCACCGCTCGGTTGAGTGAATCAATCCTGTTTAGCGTCGAACACCTCCACTGACAGCCAACTTGCCATCTGCCCAGACGATTGGTTTTATGTTTGAACAACTCTGTTAAAGATTATTTTCTTAAGTTTATTTTTATTTATTTTTGAGAGAGAGAAAGAGAGAAAGCAGGAGTGGGGCAGAGAGAGACGGAGACAGAATCCCAAGAAGGCTTCACATTGTCAGCACAGAGCCCGACGTGGGGCTCAGACTCACCAACTGTGAGATCATGGCCTGAGCTGAAGTCAAGAGTTGGATGCTAAACCAACTGAGCCACCCAGGCACCCCCTCTGTTAAAGATTATTAGATTTAAACTTGTTCTTTCTCAATACAGCATTGGTGGTACTTTTGCTTCTCTTCTGAGCCACAGAATAATTATAATCCCCTTATATATATGTTCTGTC